TCTAATGTACGCTCACATGCTAGAGCATTCACTACACAACTTGTGAGCCTACGTTGACCTGTATGCTCACATGTTGTGTAGTGAATGCTCTAACATGTGAGCGCACATTGGATTGTGGACAATCTAATGTGTTAGAGCATTTATTACACAAGATGTGACACAACGTCTTTGATCTTAGCCGCCTTGCTACTACTATTTTTACATCACAATTCGAGCAATGAAATTGCAGCTTTTGTTCTGGCATCAGTAGCACAGAGGCGGCACTCCACTTCGGTCTGATCTTGTCACTCATGGATGATGGATGACCATCTCTATGGCCTTGGGCGTAGTCACGCAATTTCATCGTCTCGTGACTCTTCCAGCATAAGCGTTAACGATTTCATCGCATGTCGATCCTCCTGCCCTGTGATAGTTTTCCGAAAGGATCAATTGTGACTAACTTTTAAAGCTGAAAATAATTATTGTCTTCCAACTGTAGTAATGAAACTTCTGTTGAGACAACCCAGTACTGCTCAGGTAAAACTATCCTAGTTTTCTTCTTTGAATGGTTCTGCAAGTTGAAAGTCTGTGATTCTTAAGAGGATGTATTTTTGGCATTTTGAATTCTATACGAAAAGCTTGATGTTTGCACGTCTGTATGCATGAATTCTTTGCAAATGTTAAGCTGAGGCGTTTGGAGCTGACACAAAAAAGGAGTGTGAGCATGCTAATAAAGAAAGTGACATTTTGGTCCAATTCTTGCAGCCTTGCTTAAGAAGATGGGAAGACAAAAAGTAACTAAGCATACTGATCAAGAAACATGGCGGAAGCAATGGAACTGGCATGTAATAGTGATGAAACGGAAACAGGAAAGTATGTATTTTGTGAAATGAAGATGGCGATCCTTATCGTAGCTATTGACAGGGCCGAGCAGAGTTAAATACGCCTGCTAATCTTCTGTATCTTGGATCTCAGATGGTCAAAGTCGTGCGAGAGTTTAAACAGATAAACGGTAAAAACATGCGAGAGCCTAAGCGAAATTCCAGACCTGCGAACCAGTGCTGAACTTTCTCCAACACAAGCAGAATGCTTGAAGTAAATGAACAAAAAAGGATTCGCAAAATCTAAAATATACCAAGCTAGCGTTTATAGTAGACTCAAAGTAACGTAGTAGAAGAAATGGTGGCGAAATCAAAGAAGAAACTAACAAGGATTATTGATAAAATGCAGAAACAAAGAAAGAATTAAAAGAAATAGACAATTTTGATGTGAAAGTTAATGTAGAAGCGAAAATAAAAGAAAGGACGAGACTTCAGCGCTGTGATTGACTACTGTTATAAAAGCAACCTTTGAAAACCAACAAAGCAAAGCCTAAAAAGTCAATCTACAGAGGCGAAGTTGGAAGGGAACGAAGACAATGTCAATCCTATCGCTAACATAGTATATCCCAAGTATCCTCTCGTTCAAACTCTTCTGAGAGACTGACCTTCTTTTCAAGAAAAAAGCTTTTCACGTAGAGAAGACAGCCTATATCATACTTGAAGTAAAGCATAACTATTTGAAGGCAATCACGTACCATTGAATGTAATGACTAGTCAGAAATTCTGTCAGAGAGTTGCTGAAAAGATGATAACAACCACGTTTTCGGAAAGTTCCATGTGTGTAGTGCAAAGCCTTCATCTGCGTGCTTTTAGTATATAGTATGTATAGTATATACAAGCTCACAATCACAAGCTTCATGTTAATCTGGGCTGAAATTAGTCGTGGTTTTTGAAGAGATCGAAGAAAGGATGAAAGCATGGCTAGAAAGGTAAAGGAAAAAAATTTGAACTTGGTCATCAATCAATGCTCTATGAGATTTCATGCATAGTTGGAAAATTGAAGAAACTTTCTTGTAAACGATTCTGCAACTGCTTAATGTTCATATGTGATATATTTTTTGTTCTGATTTGTACTGAGCTTTCCACGTAATTGTGAGAAGTGGAATCTCACAGAAATACCTCTTTCACCTAATGGGTTCCCCTCTTTCGAAAACAGCAAACGAGCAATGTGGTAATGATCAAGTTATTTATAATTCTAGTGCAAGCATTTCGACAAAGTTTCTGAAAAAGGAGAACTCATTAGGAAGACTAGTACTCTGTACTATAATTGTAATATTGTACTAGTACTAACTAGTACTACATTCTTTCGCATTTAGTGCTTATTCATATGACAGTTACAACTTTGATTTGACTAACAAGAACAAGCATGTCTTTAATCAAAAATGTAGGTCGTCAATGTGCTTAACGGATACATGACCCGAGTTTGAGCTTTATTTCTGGTACATTTTGCAGGACTAACAACAAGAGTCGAGTGATGGGGATTAGACAACAAGTGTGGCCTCAAGGTTGTTCAAAAGCGGAAGATGCTGATTGTAGAACAGCAGGATGTCTGCAGTCTGCTTTCCTAACCACTCATCATAGCGCAGTTTCCACGAGAAACCCTTTCATGAAAAGGACGATGGGCTCTTTGGAACTACAGGCACAGAAAGTGTTGTATAGCATCCAAGCGCCCGGCCTGGTTTTTTTTATCACACTATTAGTCTTGAACCAAAAACATGAGATGCATGAAGCACCATATCTCATGTGTCGGACCTGAGAACTCCAGTTCGTTCCTCAACAGTTTCTGTTCTTGAATCTATTTGAGACACTACCGCAAAGTGTAAAAGAAGGTCCCTTCGACGGCGTAATCCAGGCGATAAGCGAAAGGTTAGCTGTGGGAGACAACACTTCTCGTGTAAAAGCTTTGGCTATACGTCTGAAAATGAAAAGAAATCAGACAGTAGGTGATTTCTGCTTTATACTTGAGAGGACGTGCAGTCAAGCTTACCCTGATGAAGAAATGGAAAGGGTGTCAATCCAGAAAGCGGAAATTTTGTATTCCCAGTTAGCTGATTGGGAAGGAAGCTATGTTTTGGCAGAAGCGATTGAGACTAGCCCGCGAGATGTCGTTTATGACAAAGTGAAAGAAGCAGCGCTGAGGCTGGAAAGAAACCTGCATAGAAAGGAAATTAAGCAGGACAATGATATGCACATCAAAAGGCTTTATGGCAATCAAGCTTTGAACAAACAGTGGTCTGACTCAGAATCGGCTGATCATGGTGAAAGAGAGGAAAGACTGACCATAAAAGGCAAGGAGAAAAGTAATCGTTGCCTTGAATGCGGCAGATCAGGGCTAAAGCGAAACACTGCACACTGCAAAATGCCACAAAGGACAACATAAGAAGAAATGAAGAACACAAGGCATCCTCGTTCTCCACTGCTATTGATAGGTGGTTATGCACAATCACAGGTGCCAGGAAGAGTGTTGAAGAATTTGTTGGTAAGAAGGTAGTTGTGCCAGCAAAAGTGATGACTATGGAAGTAAACGCGCTTATAGACACTGGCTCCGAGGTATCTATAGCATCATTAAAGCTGTTCACGAGGACCAAGGAAGCTGGAGTCGATCTAGATGCTTATGTGGAGAGAATCTTAGGAGTGGTATTCAATGTTGTAATACGCGACGCTTCTGGGAACAGAATAGAAATCTTGAACGCAATCAAGATGCTTACGGAATTGTTTGGCAGGTCCAAGAAAATTCCGGTTTATGTCACCAGGTCATCAGAAAATGATCTGATTTTGGGAACGAGTGTCCTACGCAACTTTGGTATAAAAGTGATTCGAAATGATATGGTATAAATGTGATTCGAATTGATACCAATAACGATTTGCTCAGGGACTCGGTAAAAGATCCCTTGAATGTAGTAAGATATCAAACTGATAGACTACTCGGAGGAAACAAGATGAAGCTAAAAGTAGGAAAAAACCTTTGAAGGGCCAAGAAAGAATTGAAGAAACAAGGCGCACAAAGCGCAGAAAGATGAAGCACGATTCCAAAAATCAAGACGGAATCTTGGACGAACCATTGGTCGATATGAAACGATTGACGAAAGCTGTGAAGATGCACAAGCTGAAAAAGAAACAACAGCCAAAGAATAGATTCGTCGATGCCAAACGAATATGCGTGGAACAGCAAGATGAAGCTGATTCCAACGCATCAGCAAACAAGAATGTTGTGGGAAAACTCAAGAATGCTAATGCGAAGCGGTATGGAAAAGTGTACGGATGTAGTACAGATACCCTCGCGCATTTTGGGAATTTATTGAAATGGTCGACTATGTCAGAGCACATCCCTGCCGAACTAGCCGTACAAGTAGAAAGACACAACGAAATCAAACAGAAAGGAGAGGGCACTTGTTGCAGTGTCAGAAATCTGGAAGAAGATAGCTTGAACATGGATCCATGGACAAGGATCGCATGGACAAGGACCGCATGGACAAGGATCAAATGGGCAAGGACCTTCTGGACGACGACCACAAGGAAAAACAAGGAAGAAGAAATCAGGATAGATCAGATGTTGTTAAGTGTCGGGACGTCACTTACGATAAGGGGGGACGTGTAGCATCCGAGCGCCCGGCCTAGGTTTTTTGATCACACTATCAGTCTTGAACCAGAACCATGAGATGTATGAAGCACAATATCTCGTGTGTCGGACCTGAGATCTCTAGTTCGTTCCTCAACAGTTTCCTGGCAGTCACCTATTCACTGTTTTGTATTAGCTCTTCTGTACTACTCTTATTCTCTGTATTTGTATATCATATTACTGGTAACCATTATAATTTACCATTTGTTCTGCTAAGTCAGTGGAACCTGCGGTCTAGATCGTCCTACCGCCGCTGTTGCAGACCGCAGCAAAGGTGAGTGCAGAAATCAAGGCCATTCTCAGAAAAAACTGTGAAACAAATGTGGCCCGAGTGGTTGTCAAGGAGCTGCAAATTTCCAGAGAAGCGGCACAATGGAGGAATCATTCAAAAAAGATTGCGGTTTAGATGGTTGTCAAAACAGAAAGGTGACTTGGTCCAGCAGTTGCAGGTCCTATTGACTGTGCGAGTACAAGCAAATAATCAGCAAGCCCGTTTTGGCCTAGCAGATAGACACAATTTTATGCTGGAAAACCTGGTCAAAGAGGCGAGAGCTCGTGGTCATCCAGCAGTAAGTGCGGATCTGATGACTTTGGGCATTCAAAATCTGGACCGGATGGGTTTAGCGGATGGGGTACGATGCGCAGTGGGAAATTAGGTGAAGGCTAAAAAATATGTGGTCATCCAGTAGTAGCTGCGGCTCTAGTGGCTGTTACAGTCCTAAAAGGCCTCGAAATTCAAATCCGCCCTGGTCCAGTCTATGCAGAAAAGTTTATATCGTAAAAATCGTTCATGAAAGCAAAACGAGGATTTAGCCATCTAACACTAATTGCTATTTTGACGATTACCATGACTTTCTGAAGCAGGACAACCTTGAAAAGGGAGTTACTTTTGGTAAAAAAAAGATTGCTGTTAATGGATATGGCTATGGTTCCAGCGAATAATCTAGAGGAATGTGTAACGGTGACGGTTGTGAAGCTATGCAGTGGAGGGTTTTGATTATTTTATTTTTGAACACCACCGGTGAGTTGCGAAGCAAAAATATTCACTTATTGTGCTTCAATAAATTTTAGCACCATTCTGATTGTTGTACATTGCAATACTGTCATTGGCGTACATGCAACCTCAAACTGTGATTTACAAAAAACTGACTCTATTCTACTTCGCCCCCATCAGGCAAAGTACCCAAACGTATAATTTTGGCAGCACAGTTTTGCAGCTTTGTATTTATAGAATACGGCGCACTTAATATTTGGCATAATACAGAATATGTACTACAATACGACAAATGCTTTTCAAAATTTGTCATTGCATATAAGGCCCGGGCATACCTCAGGCGATTTGTCTCGCCAGCATTTGCCAAATCTCTTTAAGTTAAACAATTGCAGACTACAAGTTCACATGATGTACAACTATTGCAGATCGATAAGAGTTAGAAGTACTTGGAGTATCGCCAACGCTTCGGCTGAAATTGATTGAGGTATGCCCGGCCTAAAGGTTATGGCAAGCCACTGGAGATGTAAGAGGGAACACTTGACAATTACATGCTATACTGGAAGTTGGCCAAAGGAGGTTATCCGACATGCGAATCAAAAGAATGACAGTCATTTAGCAGGATTGTGGCTATTTGTAAAAGTGGGTAAAATGCGAAGTGATTTCCCTTGGAATAGAGCACGATATTCGTGCTTAGCAGGTCAAATTACCTCGCTATGAAGAGTCTCGGCAAGTTCTGAGACTCCAATACCTACTAATTGGAGGATATCCGTGGTGGTGTAGAGTTAGCAGAAGTCAGTTTGTTTTCAACTCTCTTCTCATGTTTCACTGAGCTAATGATTCAACCTCTAGTAACACTCAACTAAAGGTTCGGCTAAGTGTATTTGATACAGGTTGCGCACGTTCATTTATGGCCTCGAAGCGTAATACCTCACATTCCATCAGTTTTGGGAAAATACCCCATTTTCAGGTGTATAAGCCGCACTTTTTCAAATTTGCAAACGAGCTGCTCAGCCGCTTCATCGTGTTTCAAGAAGCGATATCTATGCCGCACGAATCTTTCAGGCAATATGCAGCACATTATAGGGTCCTTTGGTTGCGAGGTCCTTTGATTATTCGGCTGGTTGATGTAAGCTAGAACCACCCCGTCGCTTATACACCTGAAAATAGGGTACGTAAATATTCTATGTTGTCATCGTGCGTATTTTAACTCAACCACTTCACCTACATAATGCCAGATCTACATTTTTGAAAAAATCATAACTTTGCGTTATCCCAAAAAATTTACTTCTCTTTTCTTTATTCGAAAGAGCAAATCTCTCGCTTTTTTCTTTGTTGCTTTGCTTCTGCTACGCACTGACTGCAAAATATTAGGTCATTCCGAAAGTAATTTCGCTTTTTTCAATCAAACGCCACATGTGATGGAACGAAGCTTTCTAAGAGATCTTGGTAGCATTCGATGCAGAATTTCATTCTCTTTCCAATGGCTTGAAATTATTGCAGTACAGTCAATGAGCTTTTGAGAAATTACGAAAGTCTCCGATGCATGCTTTTTAAGATGATCAAGTTTCACAGTTTTTCTAAATTTAAGTATTAAAGTATCTTGAAGGCTCTGTCCAGGTAGAATTTCACCTTTAAAATTCTAGAATCTTCTATATGTTCTGTGCCTGTTGAATCCTAATCCGCCCCTCAAACAATCAATTAAAATCAGCTACTAAAGACCGCAAAACCCCTTTTTCGAGGGTCTCTTCGGAAAAGCGATGGACTCTCTTGCAACTGAAGAAAACCGCTGGATGGACGGGACTCCACCGACTGAAGGCGGGATTAGGGCGCCGCCTCCTTTTTTAGACTGTCCAAAGCAATTTTATCGCTTCCAAATCCACCTTTCTTGATGGGATGATGATGCTGCGCTCAGAAAACTCTGCGGTCAGAAAAATCATGCGCTGACGATTTCAGATTTTTCTGCAGCTTTCCAGATTTTTGACGACCTAAGTTAAAATCAGCAAAGTTTATATGGCCTTCTGTTTCTATTTTTATTAGGTCATTCCGAAAGTAATTTCGCTTTTTTCAATCAAACGCCACATGTGATGGAACGAAGCTTTCTAAGAGATCTTGGTAGCATTCGATGCAGAATTTCATTCTCTTTCCAATGGCTTGAAATTATTGCAGTACAGTCAATGAGCTTTTGAGAAATTACGAAAGTCTCCGATGCATGCTTTTTAAGATGCTCAAGTTTCACAGTTTTTCTAAATTTAAGTATTAAAGTATCTTGAAGGCTCTGTCCAGGTAGAATTTCACCTTTAAAATTCTAGAATCTTCTATATGTTCTGTGCCTGTTGAATCCTAATCCGCCCCTCAAACAATCAATTAAAATCAGCTACTAAAGACCGCAAAACCCCTTTTTCGAGGGTCTCTTCGGAAAAGCGATGGACTCTCTTGCAACTGAAGAAAACCGCTGGATGGACGGGACTCCACCGACTGAAGGCGGGATTAGGGCGCCGCCTCCTTTTTTAGACTGTCCAAAGCAATTTTATCGCTTCCAAATCCACCTTTCTTGATGGGATGATGATGCTGCGCTCAGAAAACTCTGCGGTCAGAAAAATCATGCGCTGACGATTTCAGATTTTTCTGCAGCTTTCCAGATTTTTGACGACCTAAGTTAAAATCAGCAAAGTTTATATGGCCTTCTGTTTCTATTTTTATTAGGTCATTCCGAAAGTAATTTCGCTTTTTTCAATCAAACGCCACATGTGATGGAACGAAGCTTTCTAAGAGATCTTGGTAGCATTCGATGCAGAATTTCATTCTCTTTCCAATGGCTTGAAATTATTGCAGTACAGTCAATGAGCTTTTGAGAAATTACGAAAGTCTCCGATGCATGCTTTTTAAGATGCTCAAGTTTCACAGTTTTTCTAAATTTAAGTATTAAAGTATCTTGAAGGCTCTGTCCAGGTAGAATTTCACCTTTAAAATTCTAGAATCTTCTATATGTTCTGTGCCTGTTGAATCCTAATCCGCCCCTCAAACAATCAATTAAAATCAGCTACTAAAGACCGCAAAACCCCTTTTTCGAGGGTCTCTTCGGAAAAGCGATGGACTCTCTTGCAACTGAAGAAAACCGCTGGATGGACGGGACTCCACCGACTGAAGGCGGGATTAGGGCGCCGCCTCCTTTTTTAGACTGTCCAAAGCAATTTTATCGCTTCCAAATCCACCTTTCTTGATGGGATGATGATGCTGCGCTCAGAAAACTCTGCGGTCAGAAAAATCATGCGCTGACGATTTCAGATTTTTCTGCAGCTTTCCAGATTTTTGACGACCTAAGTTAAAATCAGCAAAGTTTATATGGCCTTCTGTTTCTATTTTTATTAGGTCATTCCGAAAGTAATTTCGCTTTTTTCAATCAAACGCCACATGTGATGGAACGAAGCTTTCTAAGAGATCTTGGTAGCATTCGATGCAGAATTTCATTCTCTTTCCAATGGCTTGAAATTATTGCAGTACAGTCAATGAGCTTTTGAGAAATTACGAAAGTCTCCGATGCATGCTTTTTAAGATGCTCAAGTTTCACAGTTTTTCTAAATTTAAGTATTAAAGTATCTTGAAGGCTCTGTCCAGGTAGAATTTCACCTTTAAAATTCTAGAATCTTCTATATGTTCTGTGCCTGTTGAATCCTAATCCGCCCCTCAAACAATCAATTAAAATCAGCTACTAAAGACCGCAAAACCCCTTTTTCGAGGGTCTCTTCGGAAAAGCGATGGACTCTCTTGCAACTGAAGAAAACCGCTGGATGGACGGGAACCGACTGAAGGCGGGATTAGGGCGCCGCCTCCTTTTTTAGACTGTCCAAAGCAATTTTATCGCTTCCAAATCCACCTTTCTTGATGGGATGATGATGCTGCGCTCAGAAAACTCTGCGGTCAGAAAAATCATGCGCTGACGATTTCAGATTTTTCTGCAGCTTTCCAGATTTTTGACGACCTAAGTTAAAATCAGCAAAGTTTATATGGCCTTCTGTTTCTATTTTTATTAGGTCATTCCGAAAGTAATTTCGCTTTTTTCAAACGAACGCTACATGTGGTAAAACAAAGACATCCAAGAGCTCTTGATAGCATGGTGCAGAATTTCATCCTCTTTCTAATGCTTATGAAATTATTGCAGCATATTCAATGAGCTTTGGAAAATCACGAAAGTCTGCGATCCATGCTTTTTGAGGTGCCCAAGTTTCACAATTTTTCCAAATTTTCACATCAATCTTCCGAAGGAGTCCAAGTAACGATCCGATAGGCAAACTTTATAGAATATGGCGTAACTTTTTTCTCGTTTCTATGTCTCGTCATAATTTCTTGAAAAATTTAATATTAAAACCATCAAATTTTGACAGGCCTACGTCAGCCACATTCCCATCAAACACCAATAAATCTTCGAAATTTGAACTTCCAAGATGGTATTATGATTTAACACTAACTTTAAAAAGCGAATGCGGGTTAACGGAATCAAAATATCCGATTTCGATTTTTCTGGGTACAGCCCGAAACGCGTTCGAAAATATGAATTATGATGATTTTGTATGCGAAAACTCCACGAAGGGTGAAAAAAAAACATCCATTAGAAAGATAGAACAAGCTACATCAAATGACACTCGAGCTGCTTACCGTTTGATGTTCTACGATGTTTGAGTTGACCAAAAATGGAAATTGGTACCATTATTCAAAATTCTATTAAAAAATTTTGAGGAGCTATGTGAAGGAGAAAAAAAATGGTTTTGGATCCTGTAGGGGTTGCTCTATCAAATCGTTATTTGCAATCCTTCGGAGGGTTGATGAACAAATTTAGAAAAACTGTGAAACTTGAGCATCTTAAAAAGCATGCATCGGAGACTTTCGTAATTTCCCAAAAGCTCATTGACTGTACTGCAATAATTTCAAGCCATTGGAAAGAGAATGAAATTCTGCATCGAATGCTGCCAAGATCTCTTAGAAAGCTTCGTTCCATCACATGTGGCGTTTGATTGAAAAAAGCGAAATTACTTTCGGAATGACCTAATATTTTGCAGTCAGTGCGTAGCAGAAGCAAAGCAACAAAGAAAAAAGCGAGAGATTTGCTCTTTCGAATAAAGAAAAGAGAAGTAAATTTTTGGGATAACGCAAAGTTATGATTTTTCAAAAATGAAACGACAGAGCTTTCGGGACAACCTAATATATCAGTGGCGATTCCAGGATTTTGGATCGAGGGGGGGGGGGGGGAGGAAGCGGCAAAAATTTTTTTAAATGAAGGTGCGTGGCGTTAGGGCGTTGTGTTCAAATGTTTGTTCGTCAATTGTTTTGTTCAAAATTCAATAAGCTCTCGAAAAATTATCAAAATCTGCGTCCCATGCTTTTTTGAGAAGGCCAAGTTTCACAATTTTTCTAAACTTTAACAACCTTTGGAAGGAGTTCACGTAATGGATGGATAGAGCAAACCCTACAGGGAGCAGCACAACTTTTTCCTACTTTCCAAAACTCGTCATAATTTTTGTATAGATTTTTTGATAGAACCACCGAGTTTTAGCATTCTCGCCTCAGACACAAATGCATCAAACACTATTAAATCTTCGAATTTTGAAACTTACAAAGATGGACTATGGTTTGACACTGATTTTACAAACCAAATGAACATTCATAGCTTCAGATGAGCAACTTTCGAAATTTCCGGGTACAGCCTGGGGCGCCCTGGAAAACCCGAATTATGATTATATTCCAGGAAACTTGAAAAGAAACAAAAAACAACTGGTAGAAAAAGGGAAAATGCGTCGAATGATACCCGAGTTGCTTGCCGGTTGTTGTTCCGTGATGTTTGAGTTGACCAAATATGGAATCTGATGGCATTGAAAAATTGATTCCAGAAACTCTAAGAAGCAAGCTAAAGAAAAGAAAAAATAACCTTGTGTCCTATATTGCTCTATCTAACTGTCGTTTGCACTTCTTCGGAGGACAAGAACAAAAATTTAGAAAAATAGCCGAACTTGATTATGGCAAAAAGCAAGAGTCGCAGATTTTGGTAATTTTTCGAGAGCTCATTGAATATTGTGCAACGAAATGAGAACTGTAAAAAAGAGGATGAAATGTTGCACCGGATCATCTTAAGATACCCTGAAAATTTTGATTCCATGGAATGTGGCGTTCATTTGAAAAAAGAGACATTACTTTCGGAACGATCTAATATATAGGGTCCCAAAAAATGTACCTACTCTTTGTTTGTAAATAACTTTGTTGTAATGAAGTGTTTCGAGAAGCTTTAGGTACCATTTTGTAGAGCGAGGTTAAACTTACAATTAGATTTACTGTATGGAGCGAATCATCTATCGCTCTTCATTACTGTAGGATTATGGTACGAACTTCGACAAGGATTTTAGGCCATTGGAGGCTGTATTTTGCCTCGGAACAAAACCAAACCAGCCAAAAACTCTCATACTACGCTAATGGGAGCAGCTGATTTCGAATTTGAAATTTCATTTTACTATGATGCTTCTTTCCTGAGTTATCCCCAGTGAATCGTGATAACTCAATTCCCAGCATTTGTCAGAAATGTAATTACACCGTCAAAAAAGCTGAAAACACTCGTGAAAAGTTGTTGGGTGGCATCAGCAGCGAGTACACGATTTTTCAATTGAAGAAAATTGTTAGGTGGTGTAATTGGTTCACAATGGTTTCATATGCTGAAAGTTTACCGTAATCCTACAGTAACGAAGAGAGATCGATGATCTGCTCCATACTGTAAATCTAAGTTTAACCTCGCTCTAAAAAATGGTGTTTAAAGCTACTCGAAACATTACAAAATAGTTATTTACAATCGAGCAGTAGGTTATATGATGAAAATAAACATTCCTGAGGCAGTAAAACGTGTCAAAGTGTAACTTTCATAACAAGCAAAAGCAGGAACCGAGAAGGGACAAAGAAGGCCTTTCACTTTTAGTTTTCCTTCAATGGCCGAGTTCAAAATTTGTAAATAGGTGTTACTATTGTATGTTTCATATAAGTGCATCCGGAAATGCGTGGGTATAGTCAGGAAAGTGATTGTTTTACATCACAATAGTGCTCTTGTGCTTTGGGCAATCCATTTTTGGACTCTTAGCGAGATCATGCAGGCTTGAGCTTATCGGTTTGGAACCGGAATCCGATTATTTTTAGTATAGATCACGTCTTTGTTCTCCAACCACAAAAAGGAAATCTTGAGACTATGCGATTTTGCCCGGCATCGACTGCGAGCCCTAAATCTTTAGTTGCATATCTTAGTGTGATCTTATATATAAAGCTGAATGTCTGTTTGTCTGTCTGTCTGTCTGTATGTCTGTCTGTCTGTCTGTCTGTATGTGTGTACGTATGTTCCGAATAGAAAATTCCATTTCTGAACCGATCGGGACCAAACTTAGCACACATACACTTCGGGCCCCGGCGGGTGTCATAGGCTACTTTTCGTCATCGATCAATATCGATTTTATCGATTTTTTGCAAAATTTGAGGCTACGGGCTGGGAGTTGGCACAGGGGGGTAATCGAGCATGCTGATCACCCCCGTGGGGGTGATCAGCATGCTCGATTACACCCCCCTGCCAAATTCCAGCCCCCTAGCTTAAATTTTGCAAAAAATCGATAAAATCGACATCGATCGATAACGAAAAGTGGACTGTGACACCCGCCGGGGCCCGAAGTGTATGTGTGCCAAGTTTGGTCCGGATCGGTTAAGAAATGGAATTTTCTATTCGGAACATACGGCGGAGCCGGGTAAGCCAGCTAGTTTACCTATAAAGTTTTACTCATAAAGAAAGCTATATACCTAAAGCACGGCATCTAGGGCATTCATAGCTGCAGCGCACCATTCCAAATCGAGTTATGGGCTTTTTACGCGGAATTGGCATACTACTAATGGGAAGACTGCTTATAGGTAAAAGTCTGCAAGAGAAAATATAAGACATCAAAATAAACATCAAATCAACTTTTTCTCATTGAAAAGAAGCTTGACGCAAGTGTATTAGCGCTCAGATGATGACGTCGTGATGTAAGTAAGTGGATGACTACGCAAATTTTGCGCAGAAAATAGTCAACAACGCCCCAAATTGATACACTGCAGCTATGAATAGCATATTTGAAATCAGGTTTAAATCTGGTTTAGAATATGTAATTCCCTTTTTAGAAACCGGTTAAGTTGGGTAATTTCCTTGTTAGAGCATTTTCATCAATCCTAAAAATCACCCGAGGAGGTGCTTTTTCAGTTTACCAAAAAATCAATGCTCAAAGTTTTGAAAGCTAATCTTGGAACTTTAGGACTACTTACCGTTTTTAAATCAAAAAGGGAATGCATAATTGCATAATGCAACAAGTTTAACTGTTTTATACTCCGTTTACATTTGATTAAAGTCAAAGTTCACTCACCTCCTAGAAGATCAACATTGTTATTGTGCTCCACTGTGTGCTGACGCACTTTACAAAATCGTTATGCACTTTTTCTACAGGATGGCGCACCTTGCAAGTATAGCCAGTTAATGAGGGTCGATTGTACTGAACTAGCGCATGATGTCACATCGCACAATTGCGCTTACATGTTCTCTGTTACGAGATATAAGAGCATTTTGATAAATGGCAAGACTACATGGAGTTGTGGCAAATACACATTTTACTTTTAGTTTTACTCGTACGTTTCCTTTGCTACTTGCTGTTGCTTATGAAAGCGGTTTTAGGCACGAACATTCTCAGCAGCAACAACGTCAACAAAGGCACGTCCTGTTCCTTGGGTCAAACGTAATTGTATAGATTGGAAATGGAAATTTCAATTAGAACCGCTAAATAGGAAGTTTGCAAAGGAATTCATAAGAGTAGCACCAAAACGTTACTGGGTAAGATTTTTTCAAGAAGACGTTGTGCATGTGACATTGCTCCAATTGAGCCACAATTTATTTAGAAACCACGATGCGAGCTGGGAAAGGCAGCGCAGGATAGCCTTAATCATCGAGACACACAACCACCTGGTACAGCAGAACTCCGACTCTCATTCAGCATTAACGTGTTTGTTCCACTTGCATGTCAAATTATGTGTGAAGCAAAATTTTATTTTGGAAACTTGGTTTTGCAACTATCTTAGCAACATTCTTCATTCTCAACATGGCGCACTCAAATCTTGTCATTATGTAGATTATGACATAAGCTACAATCGCAGCTGCTCGTCAATTCCGACGTCGCAATGAGGGTTACGGTAGGTATATCGTACAAGGGAAAATTATAAACTTTTACAGATTTGGCTGAAACTTGTTATAAGTAGGTTATTCTATGTGCTAATCACGAAAACCCTTGAAATTGCATGGTAAGGTTTTTTGTAGGATTGCAATAGGTTTACGGTTTGAGGGGTCACCCTGATCAAGAAAAGAGGCTTTTCCAAAAAATGAATATGATATTCGTGTTTACCAGGGCAGATAACCCCAATATGCGAAGTCTCGGCGAATTTTGAGTCTCCGACTCCCTAGTTATTGACTGTTGTCCCCAGCAGGCTTGCGTACAATGGCTTGTTCAACATTGTGAGGGCATCAAATCTCGAGTTATCTTCAAATTTCAGTTTTTTTGTTGGGGTAAATAAATCAAAATTTACCAATGATGCACACACATTTCAATCAATTGGTTTGGTCTAAGTTGCAAGGGCTCCATTTTGGCTTACAACCCCGAAAATTTCGCAATTCACTGGTTATCGGAAAACGGCTCGTATTTTTCCAATTCGTGTTCAAAATTCAAATAGTTTTGTGCACAGTTGTAGAACGTGGTCGTTCTACATAACCCAGAGTTTGGATGCGTGACTTCTAAAGAGACTAAAGTTATGAAGAAAATATGAAGGAAGTTGCAAAATTCAGTTTCCAGTTTAATATTATAACTTATCAAATTTATTTCAAGTTTTTTTGGTCATGTTTTTTCTTTGAATTTTAATGAGTGCTTTTTTAGCGCGGATAGCTTCCGGATTCCGAACCTGTTTGCGGAGCGTTTCAAGAGCAATCTCTCAGAGGTAGGGACCGGACTTAGAGGCAGTGTCCGAGCAAAAAGTCGATTTGAGGTTTTGTGCTTACCTGGACCTAATCACTATGCTGGATCCGCCCAACTGAAGGCGCAGAAACGGCAAAAATTAAATTCCGAAGTGCTTTAAATCAGCAGTGGCGAGGTTTTTCTTACGGAGAATTCACTCTCCCAGCTTCCGGAATGATTTTCTCACTTCCGCTAGCCGCCCTGACATCTCCACCGGCCAAGTGCGAAAGCGTGACTTGAAATCGGGATCGGCGAAATCGCTCCGAAGCTGGAGGCATGAATCCACAGTGGGGAAGACCCTGCCCACCTGATGACTTCCATCACCCCTAGAGCTTTTTTCGAAGATTTGTGTTCTCCAGTGTAGATTCTAGGATTCAGCATAGCAAGTAGGCCCTGGTAAGTACAAACTCTCAAAATCGACTTTTTGTCCGGATACTGCCTTTAATCCCAAGAATAGATCCAGATCTACCAAAAGCGGTTTTAGATAGTCGCTTTGGTAAATAAAGTCCAGCTTTTGTCAATGTCAAGTTCACATTTCAGATACAACCGCGAATAGAGAAAGTAGAAAATCTAACACGTCTCGTGACCTTTGGTTGTGCCACATTGAAAACCCCTGTTAACTTTGTTCAAATTCATTCAAATCAGAGGTCGTTTAAGGTTCTTTGTTATTTTTATTAAAAAAATGATCTCAGCATGACTTTGAAAGTTTTACCTCAAAAACTTAACTTAAACAAACGCAACATGCAAACTACGTGCAACATGCAATATGCAAATGTAAAAGGCAACATGCAACATGAAACATGCAACATGGAACATGCAAACTACATGCAACATGCTAACTACATGCAATATAACGAGTAACATGCAAAATGCACACATGCGGTACGATCTGCAACATACACCATGTAACCTGTAACATGCAATAAACTTAATACAAGGGACAATTTATACAATTGAAACTAAGACTCTAAAAAGCATCAACTGCATGCAATAACAATATAAATTAAGAATAAATAATTCAAAAATACCCACACTGATCGCAAATGTCGTCGCCCCGAACCCACTTGGTTTCGGCCTAGTCAGGGGGAACTTGTCATCTTTCTTATCATATCTAAAAAATACTCCATAAACAATAAAAATAATTTCATTCAAAGCACTTACTCAAGTATGCGTATAACATCCTCAATTACCAAATCGAAGTTTTTTTTCATAGATATCGGTAGGTTTATGATCTTACAAACTCCTCCATGACAGAGATGTTCACAGTCTCCTTGAAACGTTCACGACGCTCAGCCAGATCCATACTGAAATTATATGGTTAATAATTAATTATTATATAGATATATACAATAAACATATATAAACAGTACAAAGTTAAAAAAAATTCTCATGGAGGGATTGTTACAGGTTGACGTTCAGAAAAAACTTCTGCTGCATAACATATCTGAGTATCTTTCACATATCATTAGAGCACATTTAGCTATGAAGAGCAATAAATTAGTACTTTCTGACACATTGAGATTATTACATACTGGAAATGAATGCGTATGCATAATTATAATTTGTAAGACCTGTCAAATCATCTGGGTCCAATCATTTATTTCCTTATTATTCAAAATATTGAGTATCTTATATATAAAGCTGAATGTCTGTCTGTATGTCTGTCTGTATGTCTGTACGTATGTGCGGAATAGAAATTTTTATTTCTGAACCGATTTAGACCAAACTTGGCACACATATACTTCGGGGCAGGGAGCGTGTTATAGGCTACTTTTCGTTATCGATCGATATCGATTTTATCGATTTTTTGCAAAATTTGATATACGGGGCTGGGAGTTGGCACAGGGGGGTAATCGAGCATGCTGATTACGAATATAATAATGACAGGGCCGGGCGGAGCCGGGTTTGCCAGCTAGTAACTACTAAAATAATCACTAATACACTGAAACATAACAATTAGCTAACTACCGTTAACTGATTAATAAGAGAAATAACATATTTATACCAATAAAATCCCCTTTTTCTCACTTATACTAACCGAAAGTTGCCCAGTTGTATACCCATACCTATAATTTTGGTATATCAACACACATAAGGGGTTAGGTTGTGTTTACCTTACACTAAGGTTAGTTTATTTTTATTCTCTTAGTTTATTTACAGTAATACTACCGATGGGGTTCACACAAGTAGCTACTGGCAAAGGAAGGTAAGTACTACGCCTCCGGTGTTTTATTTTTTTAGGGAGCGCCACCCCCTGGAAGCAGCCCTTCCGAAACCTAGCGTAACCTTCCCTCTGGTATGGGATTAGGCCGTTCTTTACCTTAGATTTTTGGCTTAAAAATAAAAGTACGCAAACCAGTTACACTTCATTCAAAAAGAACTCTTTTGGATAAAACTATTGATGACACCTATGCTTTTCGGCTTTAATGATAATATAAAAGGCTATGGTAATCTAACTATGATCGAGAACCCTTTAAATCATAGAAGTAATAATCCATTTTTCAATCTTAGCATATCTAAAGACAGAAGCAATCGAGGGTATAATAAAGAAGAAAACATCATATACACAGACAATCTATACTTGAAGAAATCAAAAATTTCATCAAAAATTCCCCTACATATTATGAACTCTATAAATTTATCAAAAGTAAAAATAAACATTATATTTCCTCACTAATTAATATATCAACATTTAGTCCTGAATCTCTAGATATTCCTTCTAGTTTTAAATATGCATTGTATGGTATTCTCTGTCATTACCATTTCAGCAAAGTACCCGATAAGAAAACTATCACTACATATATGAATATCAAATTTCCTTACTATAATAGCATTTTAGATAATACCAATGTTAACAAAATAGTTAATAACACATCTATCACAAACCTCATTAAAACATACAGCTCTAAACCTTATCAACCTATCAGACTAATATATGAATACACAAAATATGCTTCTTGTAATATATACAATTATAATAAATTTCTTAATAATCTTCACAACCTCAACATAAACGATGTTCCATGCGTTTGTAAAAATTACCAACAATACATAGACCCTACATATAGACATGTTGTCACTGGAGATATAAACATATTTAAAACTGAACCTATATATGATTTTTTGAATAAAGGTACAAAAGTAAGATTTCCATATAGATATTCTACAGAACAAATCAAAAGTTTATGGCTTAATTTATTTAACATAATTTGCAAAAAATACAAAACAAAATATTCCTTGGATGATGTAGTTTCGACTGCCATAAAAAATGAATTATATAGACACCTTCTTAGATACCATAGTAGATTAATTTATAATTTTGATAATAACTGTTACAGCCTTCCTATTTCTAATATCAAACACTATCAAAAGTTCTTCATATTTTGCCCTTTGGACAAAGCTAGCTCGAATTATGGCATTGTTTGCAAAAAACTTTATCTCAAAATATTAATGTCAGAAATGGGATTAAATAACATGTCAAGTACTTCTCCTATCTATGATTATCTTGGAACATTAGACACTGGAACCATCATTACTAAACATCTGAATTTTTTTAAAACCCATAATCTCAAAATTAACGAAGTCTGTACCATTCCAAATATTTATTGCATTCCCAAATTACATAAAAATCCGCTTAAGTTTAGATTTATTACTGGTGCTTCAAACAGCAGCCTTAAATCGTTATCAGAAGAACTAATGCATATTTTCAACTTTATCCGAAACCATTTTAAAAACTATACTAAAATTGTAAGCATTAGTAAAAACTGTTTTGATACCTATTGGTCTATAAATGGTATTGATATTTCCCACAAATTTGACCACATTAATTCGAATAACCTTAAACTGTTTTCAGCCGATTTCACTAACATGTTTACAAACATTCCTCATAATACCATTATCAGCAATCTCAAAGGGATTCTTAAAATATGTCTCAAAAATAGTAACAGTATATGTCGTTTGTAATAATAACAAAGTTAGCTATTGTAACCTCTATAATGAAAAAACAAAACAAAGGGTTTATAAAATTGAAGACATTTTGTACCTTGTTCAACATCTATTAGAAAACAGCTATTGCAAAATTGCAAATCACATATTTATGCAAAAAGTAGTTCGTTCCACAAGGTGGTAATGCCAGCCCTTTCTTGCAGATTTGACGTTATTTTACTTTGAATATAAATTTGCCATTAATCACCATAAAAATGATATTTTGTTCAAACCTTTCAGATATATGGATGGCTTACTGATTATACATAATTTAGAAGAGAAAAGGATAAGTAAATGGTTGACTGACACTTACAATGATATATTAGAGTTGAAAAATACGCACCAAAGCGAATTAGAATGTGACTTTCTTGATTTAAATATAAGAATTGTAAATAATAAAATTATTACGCAACAATACAATAAAACAGATTACTTTACGTTTAAAGTTAATAGATTTACATATGCGTCTTCACACATAAGTGTTAAGGTTAAAACATCCATTATATACAGTGAAATTCTAAGGATTTATAGAACATGTACAAAATTTGATAACTTTCTACATAGACTATTAATGCTTTTAAAACAACTAGAGGAATTAGACTACACATAAAATATAATCATCAATGCTTTTATAAAATGCTTCACATTCAATAAATGTATTCCATACAAATATATAGAGCTTCAGTCTTTCAAAAATATGAAACATTTCGTTAAATTCGTAATAGATAGACTAGATCATTGCTGATCTTGTGATCTTTTGCCCTACCAAACTGGTATAAAGTCCCAGCAGTATACCACTATTGTTAGTTAACCACTCTTCCCTACTGAAAAGCCTCGGGAGTGGTTATCACTTATTGTATTCCTGCATAGGGCTAGAGGCGAAACAGGCTTAATAGTAACCCTTTATTATTTATTAGAAATGTTGCTTTAGCTTAATATTGACAAGTCTCCTTATTAGCATTTTCTCGATATCCATTAATGTTGCTATGGTCCCCGCAGATTA